GTGGAGGTAGAGATGGATGGAGGTAGGAGGAGGTTTGAGGAGGTAGGAGGAGGAGGAGGAGGAGGAGGAGGACGAGGAGGTGGAGGAGGAGGAGGAGCAGGAGGAGGAGGAGGAGGAGAAGGCGGAGGCGGAGGCGGAGGCGGGGGAGGAGGAGGAGGAGGGGGAGGAGGAGAATGCAGGAGGATTTTGAACGCGCGTTCTGCTTCGCGACCCCGAGGCGGGGCTAGCGCGGGCAGCCCTTTCACCGTCCTCATCAAGATGCTGTGGCCTCCTTCTCGCCTTCCCCCTCCTCAGAGCCCCGCCGCGTCGATCTCAGGCTCATCGCGTCCACCCCCGCCGTCCTCGCCCTCCTCGAGGCTCGAGCCCTTGAGCTCTCGAGGCCCTCCGCACTCCGTCGCCGCGCTCCCGAGGCGGATCCGCTGCCCACGATGTTGGCGAACGCCTGAGGGAGCCTTCCTGCCCAGCCCTGGTCCGGGCTTGCGCGGGCCTTCCAGGAGGGCCACAAGATGGCACCACAGCCTCTACCGAGTGTTGCCATAGGCGTTCGGAGGTTGACAGACCTCCTACCCTGACACGTCGATTAGTGCATTGCCCGTTTTCGGTTCGCGAGAGGGCGTCGCGGCCGTTAGTTTTGCGGGTCCAGGTCCATCGGTTTCGGTCCTAGGCCGTTTTCACTAAAGGGTGGCTTACTAAAGGGAGGTTTGTCCACCGCCGAAGCGTTCATGGCCCAGATGGCCGCCAGAGCACGCCTCACGAGGCCCAGAAGCTTCCAGGGGATCAATCAGGAATGGCGCGAAATCAGGGCCACTCCTAGCGACACCCGACTGTAGTGGGGGTAAATCTGGCCATGCATTTGTGGATAGCGTGTCGCTCCGCCTGTTCTGGCTCACCACGCTTCGGCGCGACACACGATCCACATCCTAGTCCCCTGGCGTCAACGTCCCAAGCCTTTTCCGAGCCTTCCGCCACGCAGAGCGGAGCGACACGCTATCCGCTTGCACGGCATGGCGTGTCGCCGTGGCCGTCGCGGCAACACGCTAAGAGAAGGCTTCCGACCGTATCATGGCCAGGGCCATGCGATTTCACTGGGTGAAATCTCCCCTCTTCTTCTTTCAACACGTACCCTGGTCCACCCCTGGACTGCGCACGTGCTTAGGGCCATGATTTGCGACTCCTCCTCCCCGAAGCCCCTTCTAAGAGAGGCTCGTGGACACCCGCGGAAAATAGCTCCATGGTCTTTGAACTGGGTTCGCGCATCAAGAATCCCGATGCTGTTCGGTAAGGTGCTTCGGGTGTCTCCGCTTTGCGCACAGCGTGGTGACTTCCCCCGGGCTGATCTTTGAGACTGGTGGGCCCGTAGAAACTGTGCGACCTGTGGAGCTTGTTGGACCTGCGGGCCCCCGTAGGGAGGGGGCTCTCGCTCGAGACTTCCTCGCTCTGCACTCACAGACGAGGTCCCCGCTCGAGACATCCTGACGATTTGCGACCTCGGGTTGCGCAAGTGATATGCCTGCTACGGTAGGCCCATGACCCGTTCAGATTACTAAAGAGATTTGCTGGCCCCATAGGAAGGCGGCTCCCGCTTGAGATTTCCTCGCACATCACTC